ACCACCACCACTCTGCAGCTCAACCCAGTCCCACCAGCTCTGGGAAGGCGACAGATTTCACCTTGAATCTCTGTTTTGTTCTCGTCGCTCACACTGACGTCGTACATGAAACAATTGAGTCTAAAATTGAACATAGATATAAATCAAAACACAGAAAACTATTTTAAACACATTTTGTGTTTATTTAAACTTCTTTCATTAAATCATTTACGATACAGATTAATCAGTAACAACATGCTCTGAGTTTTGTGTTGTTTTTGACATTTTTATTGGTTAAGTCAGAATTTTTTTTGCCTTCCGATACCTTTTATACCCTCGTTTTACCTCTCTCTTGATGACTCGTAATTTTTTTCACGCTTCTTTTGTATTCGTTGTTCACTGCTCTGTCCACGCTTTATCAATTTTCAGTTCTTGCAGTTTGATTTGTGCCATCCTCCTGTGCGTGAATTGAATAAAGTTTGATGAATTAATGAAGTTTATTTTCTGTTTTAGTGGGTGTTTTTTTGTCTCCAGCTTTACCTTTGCTTATAAAACACGATTTTAATCCTGTCCACCATCATTTTTTTGTCCTGACAATAAATCCCTATAGCTTCTAAATGATCATTTGTCACTTTCTAGGGTTTACTTTATGATTTGCTCCTCACCAATCTTCCTCTTTGYGTGGTTATTTCTCTATAAATAAGTATGCACCGTGCCACATATTCCTGCGGTATCTAATGGCAGGAGACCTCTCTGTTTTGGGCCTGTGGAGTCATGCTGGCGTCTTGAGGACAGTTTTYAGGGTGGTGTGCAACATGCTTCACTTTAAATGGGCTGCTGGCCTCAGCTGACGGAAAGAGTCGGACAATGGTTAATTGTCGAGGTCAAAGAAAGTTTCTCACAAAAAAAAAAAGAAAAAGAAAACAATGAGCTTTCATATTATTTTTAGGCTGTCATGTACACAAACCTTGGTAGAGCCGTTTTAACGTAACTCATCTTCCCAAAGTGCACTTTTGAAACCTTTAACATACTCTTTATGGTGCTACGGATGATTAAAAAAGCATAACGAGGGCTTAAATGAGTGTTTTTGTCCTTGTGTTCGTGTGCAGTGAAACACRGAGCGTTATCTGCAATCGATGCGTGTGTTTAATGCATCAGCATCCCACTGGGAATTTCAGCTCGTTTCCAAACCAATAAAGAAAGATAAATGGGACAAAAGCTCCTCTCGCGGAGGACAGGTGCCGCACAGTAAAAGCTTTTAATCATGTCATGAATGCAAATTTGAGTTTTGCAAGAAGAGGGGAGAATTTGGGRAAGGATGGAAAGCTGTAGCTGGGCTTTGGTGCCAGGCTGGACACGGTTTCCTTCTGGTTTTGGAAAATCTGAATCAGGAGAATGATTCAAAAAGGCTCCATGTAAAATAGCTGGAAGTGAGCAGAGACAGCAGACAGCATGACTCTAAAACTCTGCAAACATTCTCTGTCAGGTCGAACTGAGATGGTTTTGGTCTTAGTTCAGCCCCAGATGTAGTTTGATGCTCTTTTACGCACGAGGACACGCGACTTTGGGTGGAAGTATGACAGACGGCTGGGTGAAAGGRAAAAAAAGGCTGCAGGAAACTGCTGTGGAATTTCCACACCCTGACGTGAGTGGACCCCTCCTGCCAATAGACAAAGAGGGCACATTTACCCCCCCCCCCCCCCACCACAACTCTCTCTCTCTCTCTGACAATAGAGGCCATGTAGAAACAAAGCAAAAAGGAAAGGCCGTGGGGTCATGTGCTAGCGTTAGAGAGGTGGTCTTTGCAGCCTCTTTTCTTTAGATGAGGATTACTGAGGGGGGGATGTATAGAAAATCAGCAGGGTAAAGGAGAAGGGGCTGTTCCAGTGGATGATGTAAAGTGGGAATAAGCAGTGGGTCCAGTTGGTGTTGAGAGTATGAGGGAGGGGAAAAATGGCCTGTGAAGGTTATGTTATTGTGGTTTTTAAAATTTTTTTCTGGCAGACTGAGCCTGAGTGGTCACGCTGAGCCAGGAAAAATAAAAGCAACTCTGACTTTTTCCTGTTGCCCAAAAAACACGTAAAAAAATTAAAAAATAATAATCTTATTCCTGCATTTGAACCAAATGAAGTGACTTTATTTGACATTTAAACGGTGACAGATCAAAAAGAAAGCTGAGGTGGTTTGTAAAACGGACTAAATTAWAGCAAATTTTTGTTATCTAAAGTCATCTGGGTGTAATGGCCATTTAAAATTAATTTGATAAGAAGTTAAAAATTTGTCTTAAAGTTTAATAAAAATCTGCTTGGTGTTTCATGAAGTATTTTGCCAACAGACAACAAAGATGTTGCACAAATTGTCAGAACATACATAGTTAAACATGCTTATTTTTTAAATTTTTCAAAAATTGTGTGAAAGATCAGATCATTCAAAAATCATTAGGAATTAATAACTTATTCATAGACGTCCTGAGTTCAGGAAAGTGCACAACAGTAGTTTGGCTCCATCTAGTGGTTATCAAAAGTATTACAGGTGCTTGTTTAGTAGGCCAAAAGGAAAGTGGTGCAGTGTGTTGGCAGTCCAAAGCCCAGAAATAAGCTTTATTCTATCGTAAGCCTTTATTTAATTATTTTTTTACTTGTGGCTTATAATGGCCGCGTTCACCTTCATATCACATTTTAATCCGCTCTGTTTGACGTGAGTCTCCTCCTGCGCGCGTTCACTGCGCGACTGCGGGAGTTAAAAAGGGGGCGGTCCACCCGGAGGAGCAGGGGCGGTGAGTCATCTAGGGTCGTGTGTGCATCGCGCTGCATTCCTCCTCCAGCAACCCGGTCCGACGGTCTACATCAGACAACCAAGAGAGGACAAGTGCACAGACCAACCTGTCAGCATGGGAAACCTACCGTTCCCCATTAGGTAACACGATATGACTCAAAACTCTGCTTTTTTTTCTTCTTCTTCTTTTTTTTGTTGCCAAAATAAAAGCAGTGGTGTGTCCTTCAGAGTGACACGTAGGAATCCGTTCAATTAACTGTGTTTTCACTCCCTCCGCTTGTAGCATACGTTTATTCAAAGTGGAGATTTCACTTCCTTATCGGAAGTATGATTTTTACGGAAACAWTGGATGTACCGAGAGCCTGTGTAGCTATGGTAGCACAGCAAGTTAGCTTAATAGCTTCATAATAAATACTAATTTAGTTATTTAATAAAGATAAAAACCAGACATAAACACTGTAATAAAACTGTAACATACATGTATGTGTATATACTGTATCCGGCCACTTTATTAGGTACACCTGTCCAACTGCTCGTTAACACTTAATTTCTAATCAGCCAATCACATGGCGGCA